AATGCTCGAAACATACATAAATGAGTTCATACATTTGTACTGTTCTTCTTTTTTGAAAATAACCGAAACCGAACCGAGGTTTTTTTGTTCCAAAAAAACCGAAACCGGAACCGAGATAAAATTTTTGGAACCGCACAGCTCTACTGAATTCATTTTGATCCAATCCTAGGACTGGATCAATGTACTTCATCAGGTATCCAGTATTATCATGTGAGCAAAATAAAGCAATATGGTTGGCTAATTTACCATGAATTATTAATGATTTGAGATGGATTTGACTAAGAATATAAGCTGAACATCGAAATGTTATTATTGAGCATGTATACAGTGTGGAATCCCACTTCTACGAGCTTTCTAGGAAAGGAGAAATGGACAAAAGTTTAAGACATCACGGGGTTCAATTCGGCAGCAAGCTTGATTTTATGTAGAATAAAATAAAAGATTTAACAACTTTTGATCGTTTTAGACTAAGAGTTCGTGATATTAACGAAGCGTTCAAGGAACTCGGGAGAATGTGTCAAATGCACCTACAAAGCGAGAAACCACAGACGAAGGTAAGATAAAACTTCTTGTTTTTCACGTTACTCGGTCTCCTTTGTTCTTTAGAGAAAATATATTTAATATCCCCTGTCAGTTAAGTGTGTGAAAAACTGGGGGTGGCTTTTGGTTTCAACAGGAGAGAGCGGAGCTGAAAACAATGACCAAATTCGAAGGCAAAACAACAGATTAATAATCCCCTCTAATATTCCCCTCTAATATTCCCCTCTAATCATCATGCTTTGTATTTTTTCTTTCTGAAACAAAAGTGATCAGTGTTTTGGACTCGTTTTATTAAATGTCTTTCATAACGAATTTCTTTCTATTATGTCTCCTGAAATGCAACCTCGCCAATGTGAAAAATAATACGTTATTTTGAGGACCTCGGGGATATGTGTTTATTTTAGATAAAAGTTCATAAATATCCCACCTGAGATTACGACTCTCGCCCGACAACATAGTTAGTTTGCTGGTGGGATCGCCATCTCGTCCGGGGGAACAAATTAATTTGGGTCTCCTCAGCTTCCTCTTTGAAATTCTCCCATGGGTTTGAATCATGTTTAGCATTTTTAATCATTTTTTGTTTTGTATTTATGTACTTCCAATTATTTTCCTTAGCTCGTTGTACTGCATCAAGCCGTTTCTGTAATTACCAGTTTAGAATCTCAAGTTAGAGGTAAGACGAGGGCAAAATGTGTCCAGACAAAAACATAACGATCGATCCACATCGTGCAAGCTGAAAAATTGCTTGATCACTCTGTGGATTCATAAGATATACAGGGTGTATAAAAAAATGTAATCCAAATTTAGCGTGCTCTTGTGCCACAATGTTAAGTGTACAGATCTAATAAAAGTGGGGGGTTTAGCCCTCCCAGCCCCCCAAAAATGGATACGTTTATATATAAAAATTGAGTAAATTTAGAAAAAAAATTTAGAAAAGATGAAAGAAAACCGGCACGTGCATTAAAAATATCAAGTATATACATGTAGGAAAGGTTGGCTCCCATCTACATTTTCCGGAAAAGTTTCTATATGTTGGACAATTTATGGAAATTAGCCCCCTCAAAATAAAAACTGTTCCGCCGCCAGTGCTTCCAACAATCAAGTGAGATGTCCAACATATCCTGCTATTTATCCATATTAGTGCGACTGTATTTGGTTCTTTGTATTTCCTAGAACGCAACCTCAATCCTAAAGCAGCATGTTTAAAAAGGCGTGAAGAGGAAAAAGTAGATGATGAATTACCAGAAAAAAGACTGGCACCTAACGACATAGATAAATCTTACGATCATGTGGGTTTTTCTCCGGGGGGTGGTGGACCTATGAGAGGCGGTGGGAACAGAGCCCGACGAGGAAGAAGGTCGTCGAAAGGTATACGGAGTTTTAATATTGATTCATTGACGCTTCCATCCACTTTGATTAACACTCGTAACACTTGCTTTGCTTTGATTTGCTTTGCTTTGCTTTGCTTTGAATTGCTTTGCTGTGATTTGCTTTGCTTTGCTTTGACTTACTTTAATGCTTTGACTTTGCTTTGCTTTGACTTGCTTATAACCAACAAATATTCCACGAAGAAGATGCGTGTTTCCACGGTGAAGCTGCATATTTGTTTGGAGAAAAGGCTTTCCGTGACAGAATAACGGCAATATTCCACGGAAATTTACTTCCATGAAATAACAACGCGTTTGTACGGAGGAGGTACACGTTTCTGCGGAGAAGGGTTGGCCCTTATGTGCCACCGTAGCATTGCGTTGCATTGATTGGTTTCCTTTCCTTTGCTTCTTTGCTTTCCACTCTACTTGAGTTTACCCTGCTTTACTCTATTTTGCTTTGCATTCCTTTGGCTTTGCTTTTACCCCTTTCAGCAGTTGTTAAAGAACAAGCACGACTTGCCCCCCGCAGATAAAATTTAGCGTATATACTAATCTTATAACATTATTATAAATTATTAACCCAAATGGCGCTTATATAATCTTGTGAATCAGAATGTATGATTTTGTATGGGGCGGCCATAAGCATGCATCTAACTGATATGACTTTGAATGTTGGCTATACTTATTTAAACATATAGATATTACTGCCCTGCCAATTTTAACATCATTTCGTTACGTTTCAGGTGGCTGTGGGGACGTCTGATGGTTAAAAGCTCGAACACAATAAAACAGATATCTAAGACAATAATGGCACGAACGACGATGGCGAACGCTGTAGATATATTAATATGTTGGGGAAATGATGACGAAATCGCAAATCTATGGTCAGTTGAATGCATAATGATGGTTAAGGTAAATGGAATGAAATATGAAGATAGACACTGGTCTGTTTACGAAACTGGACGATACCTTGTCGCCAGTCTCGACGGGAAGCGAAAACCGGGGAAGGGCTCAGCTTCTTCTCTCCCGCCACGGTGCAGCGTCTCGAGATACCGTACGTTCACGAAGGGTTTACGAAGCAATGGCGGATTTAGGGGAATGAAGTAAGCGTTATTTTTGGCTTCTGTGAAATTTTGGGAATCGTTTTCTTGAGTTCGTGAATTTTTATTGGTTTGATGTATCGATTATGAGAAGGCTGCAAAAGAATTTGAAGTTCTTGGTGAACTGCACGCGCAGCTTAAATACGGAATGAACGTACCCGAACAAGAATTGTGTGAACAGTGATTTCACAGACCGTGGAAATCCACCGAATCCACCATTTCTCAACTTCTGGGAAGACGGCCAGAAAGCTATGAAACTACGAATATATCAGTGAGCTCCATATTTATCTAGAGCGAGAACTCCAGTCCAAAGACTGAAGCCAAAGACGGAGCTATTGGACGTCAGCTTCAGTCCCTTTCTGTTGCTTTTATCTGCGCGGTTTGCAAGGAGTGTGCTGAGCTCCGATTTAGAGAATAGTACCATGGTTTTACGAACTGATAACTGGATTAGCGATACGGTCCGATAAAAAACTGGTACTAGCTCGAAAAATGGGATCACGACCTTCAAAGCTATATTGGACGTATTAGCCTTTCTGATTATGACGAATATCCGCCATTTTTGGGTGGCATCTAATTCTCGTTAACCAATGCAGACAATTAAAACAATGTGAAAAGCGATTTTTCAAAATAAACTAACCATTTACAAAGCAAATTTACCATCATTCGTCCAAAAAAAATTTATAAAAAGTCGCTGTCATGTGGACTTATCTCGCAGACAGACGGCTGAAAAGCCCCCCAAAAATGGCGGCGTGAGAATGGCTAATTCTCGCGGACCGAATGACTGAAGTTCTTGCTTTAGATATATATAGATCTCACTGAAATATATATGGATCTAATACCAAACTTTAGTGCAGGTTATACCGATCAATTGTCAATTTTTAGAGTTGTAAAATCACTATCCAGTTCAATATTATCCATACAACCACCCCCATTTACCGTAGATGGTAAGCTAGCATTTTCTAACCCTTTTTGGTCCCTTTTTGCTTCGGTACAGATGTCGTTTTGACGTTAAAAGCCAGGGAAACTTAGGCCTAAGATTGAAATAAACAGAATTGCAAAGACAAGCTTGTAGTCGAGAATATGAAAGGTAGAAGTTTAGTTGAATATGCTTTAAAATATATGCTGGTCGAACGCTTGTAAATAAATATAAATATATATACATATAGACTATGTAATAATCATAGACACAGTGTTTTTAAACAAAAGAGGAAATTTAAATGCATTTTAAGGCTTTTAAATCAGTTGTGGATAATTAGTGATAATTATAGTGTTCAAGTTGAATCATTAGCAAATCTATGAAAATCAATTTATTAAAAAGTACACAAAATTATACCCAAATATTTTCTTGGCACTGAATTACAATTGGCCCTGTTTTAAATCAAAATTACATTTGCACCAGCTTATCATTGAATCAACAATTTTTTCATGCATATTATTAAATTACTAATGAAACTTATACTGTAAATTTGAAATGCATTATTTAACCTAAAAAGCTATGGTGATTATATGTGCGACGGTATATATAGTACAATCAAAATAGAAAATAGGTCAGAAAAAATTAGTAAAAAGCCAAAAATTAGCGTATATGCACTCTCTTCAGCAACCTTGATAACATACTAAAAGTCCTCATGTATCCTCTTGGAACTGTCTCCATTATGACAAGTTTTTTTTGTTCGATTTCCCTAGTGAACTCCTATATTGTTAAAAAAGTGAAATTTCAGATTCATTTATAGGAAAAATAAGTTACATCATTAGAAAACTTACAAATAACTACATATAAGACATTTAAACGGCTACCTTGATTTTGCAAGTTCTTCTTGAGTTATGAGCTGTTGGAAACGTGTTGTCAGACTGGTACCCAGGATGTTAGCCAGATTTTGGCCTATTTGTCACATTTGGAACAGCAGTAACTCGAAAACCGCTTGAAAAATGTAGGTGACTGTTTAGATTTCTTATATGTAGTTTTTATGAGCTTTCTAGTGATGTGAGTCATTTTTGTTATGAGTGAACTTGAAATTTCACGTTTTTTAACAATATGGGAGTAATAGGGAAATCGAAAAAAAACTTTGTCATAATGAAAAAGCTCCAAGAGGATACATGGGGACTTTTAGTATATTGTTCAGGATAGTTAAATTATTGCATCTAACCATTTTTAGCTTTTTACTATTTTTTTCCAACCTTGGCCTTAAAATGAACTAAAATTACTGAACTAATAATTAAGGTTTGCTATCGATAACCATTTGACATTGACCAGCAGGTTGTTGACCATACGGTGGTGGTGGCTGTTGGTTGTAGGCCGAGTTTGTTTGTGCTGTGGACATCACTATTGTGTTTGGTTGTTGGGCTGTTGTGACGATAACATGCGTTGGTTCCTATTAAGGTCAATTAAGATATGTTATTTTTGTGACCTAAAAATTTAAGAATTATTGAATGAGGCTGAGCAGGATATCAGAATTATTCAGACCGAGGTCGGCGTTATCTACCGAAGCGAGTCTGTTACAAAATCAATCTCATTCTGTTACAAAAACAATCAAGGAAGCCATGCAAAAACTGATCAAAACAGACAAAAACTTAACAATTTCCAATTTTATTTAACATAAACAAAATAATTTTTACAAAATTTCCCGCTCTTTTCCAATTCATGCAAAACACCGCTGCAAAAATACGCGGGCACCTACAGATATTTTTGTCGTGTTCACATACAGATATGAGATTTATTTGTCATGATACGAAAAATTATCTGTAGGCTTTCAACCAATACGAATACGAGAAAATAGTACAATGAACAATAATCCTGGTTATTTTATCTCACTTCCTATACCATACCCTGGTTAATGAAACTAGGTATCTCGTTACATCTGACCAGTTGGGAAAACTAGAAAACGAGAAACAAACTTAAAATCCATTCCATTTAAGGTGGTCCTAAGTTGAAAACAGTGTTAGTCGTGACGTAATTACTGGAAAGGTCTATTGACATCTTCATGTTCATATATATAGACCTTTCCCCTTTTAAGTGAAATTTTGATCTAGACTAGCCTGGACAAAAATTTCATCACAGCTTGAAAGAGCATCACAAAATTAGTAATATTCCGAAGTTTCGTGGCGAAATGTTGTAAAATGCGGATAATATAGGCCTGCGAAATTTGCCGTTTTCAGTCATTTTGTATTACAAATGGGAAATTGATAATCGATATCAGTTTGATCATCTGATTACAATTTCCCGTTTGTAATCTAAAATGACTGAAAAACGACAAACTTCGCAAGGCTATATTATCCGAATTTTACAACATTTCGCAACGAAACTTCGGAATATTACTAGTTTTGTGACGCTCTTTCAAGCTGTGATGAAATTTTTGTCCAGACTAGTCTAGATCAAAATTTCTCTTAAAAGGGGAAAGGTCTATTAGTCTAACCGAAAAGTTCATGTTTTTTGGAATCCAGGGCGAGATTTACGGCATTTTGAAAGTTATACTGCATCAAGTTTGGATCAACCGTGCAAACTGTACGTTCTTATACCCAGCCGGCATTTACAATTATTTTAAATATCTATACCAAGCATAATTAATTTACCTGTGGTGCACTGCAGCAAGTTCCAACACAACCATAAATTGACCCCACGAAACTGACGATAGCAAAAAGAGCAAAGACGATCGTGACTGCAGCAGTAGCTTCGCGAACCGTTTTCAGGTCGGAGCATCTAACCGAATCTAAGAGAACGATAGAATTGTATTTTTTACATCGCTTGCACTACACACGTAAAAACGCACAAGTTGCAACAAACCTGCAGCAGACTTGTAGCAATGCTGTTCCAACAACTTGTCAACAGGATGTGTTCGCACTGCTTGTTCCCAGCTTATTGGCAAGTTTTCAACGGCTTGTTGACAACTTGCTACAAGGTTGTTGATCTCAACAGACTTGTTACAAGTTGTTCCAACAACTTGCTATCGTCCTGCAATTCAACAATTTGTCAACAAGCTCATAGGCGTACGGGAAGGAAAAAATTAGGGGGGCAGAAAGAAATTTGCCCGACTTTTTTCAATTGTGCCCGACAAGTGCCGAAAAATGTTTTCCGGAACAATTTATTTTGGCGACCCCCCCCCGTCGCCAAAAAAAATTTTGGTCAGTGTACCATTTTAGGGGTCAAAAAATTTGTCGGACCTAAATTTTTCGCAACGTCAAACAAATTTTCCCCAAAATCGAAAAATTGACATAATTTCCCGCAAAATTTACAGAATTTGTCCCATTTATTTCTATCATAACTAAATATTACCCGACTGTGAAGCGAATATTGCCCAACTGGCTTTGTTTGCCCAACAAACTGGGATTATTATTAAGAGAGATTTTCTTGTTTTGACTACTTTTTGCCCGACTTTTGTTGAACATTTGCCCGACTTTTCGACTTTGTAAACTGTTTGGGGGGGGGGGGGCAACTGCCCCCGTACGCCTATGTCATACGATGGAAACGTCGCATTGTTTTGACGTTTTTTTAGTCGTATTTCCGGTTGGGTTAGCTCGACACGTGATTGTCTGAACAAAAATATAGACTAGCCATACCTTTCGCCGAAAATAACTTCGGCCCCTTCAAACATATCGTCTTTGTAATGGTCTTGTTCGAATCCCCATCAAAAACACTATTTAGAGTGTTATTTGCAAGCCTGTATCTTCAAATTTGCATCATTTATCACAGTATTTCCATTTCTTGTCCTGTTGTAATTACTTGATCTTTTATTTCTGAATCGAATGGTGGTATTTCTGTCTTCATAGCATGTACTGAACCGAAGATATGAAATTTCTAGCCGTCAACCTCTCGAGGACGACCTTGCAAAGAGTTTTAATTTAGTTAAAGGCACAGTTCAGCCTTTTGAACGATGGTTTTTAAGGCGCATTTCAGCTCTTTTAATTGAAAAAACTAACTAGGAAAATCAATTAAGCATAATTCAAGATCACCAAACTCAATGTTCTTAACATTTTAAACATTTTTATTCTTAAAAACATCTAGTTTACTGATTTTGAATTATACTTCATTGATTTTCCTAGTTAGTTTTTTCAATTAAAAGGTCTGAAATGCGCCTTAAAAGCCATCGTTCAAAAGGCTGAACTGTGCCTTTAACTGCCCATCACTTTTAAAACAGCAAGAAGATAAAGACAACGTGTACGGGTGAGTTATCCATGAAATAAACAGTTGGTTTACAAAATGAATTCCGTCTTTGTGGATAAAAATTAATTATAAATAATCTCTCCTGTATGTGTTAAATGCTACATGTAGTGTTTCCCCCGGCTGAGTATATTCCTTCTCTTTTGTATGGCTGCAGGGACGTCGCGAAGCCATCAACATTGGGGGGGGGGGTGTCCTCATGTTTTGACCAACATTTCTTAGGATTTTGACCAAGTCGTAAAAAAGTTCCCCCCTGAAAATGTTGTCGACGGGGGGTAACATAAACATAGTCAAAAAAAATTTCCGGACTAACATAAACATTGTAAAAAAAATTTTCCGGACCAAAATAAGCAAATTCAAAATTTTTGCACCAACATGGTCAAAACTTCCAACTTTTTCATCGCAAACGTTACAAAAGCTTTAAAATTTTTAAAATCGGGAAACATTTCATAACTTTGGGCAACTTTGACCATCTTTTATCCCAAACTTTCACAAACAGAGTCTTGTCTTCCACCTGCACGAGCCGATTAGTTCACTATTTTCTATCTGACATATAGTTTTGATCCAATTTCAATTAAATTTATCCAACCATTTCTGGATGATACATTTACAACACAGGCAGTACTCAGGCCAAAGCATTCCGGGGCCCCCTCTCAGGAAAGTTGGGCCCCCTTTCAAGTTGACTTTTTTGGCCTGCGAACTGCCTGAGTGTTCTAGATATATCATCCAGAAATGGTTGGATAAATGTATTTGAAATTGGAAAAAAAGTATATGTCAGATAACGCGTAACCCCAAACAGCCATACAAAAAAGAAGAAATATACCGGGGGAAATCCCTACATGTAGCTTAACACATACAGGAGAGATTACTTATAACTAAATAATTTTATCCACGAAGACGGAATTCATTTTGTAAACCAACTATTTATTTCATGGATAACTCACACGTACACGTTATCTTGACTTTATCTTCTTGCTGTTTTAAAAATAAAAGTGATGGCCAGTTAAAACTACTAAATAAGTGACAGTGCATAGAAGTTTGGTCTGAAGTTTGACCAAAGTTATTGAGCAACAACAAAATAATCAAATCTACAACTGTAATAAATATTACCAAATCATAAATCAACAGAGGGTTGATTTATCAACAAATCAACAGAGGGTTGTTTAAAAATAGAAAAGACACCTTTTGGCATGACATCACTGTGAAAGAATCCAGCTTTAATGTTAATTAAATTAATTACTGTAAGTAAACGAATTACAATTTCAACGCAAACTGACCTACGTTTTTGACAAAAGAGCGCGTGCACTATTTATGTTCGAAAAGTTATAAGCACGACGAGTCGTGAAAGAACACATGTTTATGGGAAGGGGAGAGAAAATATACTTGCTATACTTATCGCGGCATATCCCTGAGATTAAAAAATATAATTAAAACCAAACCCGCCAAATCAACGGCGCCGGCTATACAATATATTATAGGCATTACCTGAATAATAAGCGACAGTAAACAGTGTGATTTAGATCTAAATGCTTTCTGCCAATCGTACAGCTTTAGCTAAGGTAGTTTTATAGGCCTAGGCTTGTTTACTTGAAGAAATAAACGCTTTTGACAAGCTCTTTGGTTATTTATAGAACTAACATGACTCGACGTTGATTACATTCGTCAAAAATTCGTCAAAAATTCAATTCTAAGTTGCCCCAAAATTTTATTTGATCAGTAGCAAGCGAAAACATACTTCTTTGACCTGGTTATGAATTTTTTGTCTGAATCGATGTAACAATAAAGATATTCGCTGCCTAATATGGCATATAATAAAGAGGTTCAAAAATAAAAAAACATTAAGAAAACCTGTAAAATATTCACTTTTAACAGAAATGTCTCTAAATTTCGTGTGCTATAAATAAATAACTCTAATTTAAAAAATGAAATCATATTTTGTAAATATTGCCATTATCGTGCAAAATAGAGCGATTTTGATAGTGCCGTAAAATGACCTCTAAAAACCGAAAGTGGCCTGGAAAAACCAATTTCGACGTGTCTCTCCTTCAATATTTATCCGATCGAAATAAAACTTTCACAACATTAATACTTCATATAGGCCTACATTCTGACAAAGTTTGAAAGATTTAAAATTTTTTCATTTTACACGTCTTACCTGACTATTACAGACAACCGCTCTTAATTATACAAATTTACTGTGTTATTCCATAGTCGGTTGCAATGTTTGAATTTTCTTGTTCAAACTTCAATGTTCTTGTTGCCACATCGGAAAAACTAGTAAGAACTTGTTAAAAACATTCTAAAAGAGATTAAGTTGTTTTATTTATTTCAAAATCCTAAATTATTTCCAGAAATCATCAAAACAACCTTACGTCCATGCATCGTCTGAACGAGCACCATCGAATCAGGCCGTAATGTAAATATAAATTAGCAAGTTGACGGCAAGCTAAAACACGCTTCAGCCGGTATTACAACACACTTGAAGTCAGCAAGTGAATTTAAAATAGTGTATTGGAAGCCATTATTACTTGATTTTTACAAGCAATTGCCAAAATGCCTCAATTTGCTCATTTTGGTGACAAAATAAGTTATTTTCATAAAGTACCGGTTTGTTATTGCATCTCAAATTTTTGACTCTCCAATCGCAATCACTTAAAATATTATTATTCACGAACTTCTAGATTATATTTACGAAACAACCCACCATTGAAAAGCTGAATGTCTAAGCTTTAAAGTGAATGTAAACCTGAACGTTTTGCTTTAATATTCGTTTCGAAATTTATATTTGAAGCGAGGACTCCGTTTTTTATGATACACCCTGTATTTTGCTTAAATCACAGTAAGTCCCAGTTTTTAGTACAAAGTTTCACTTTGCACTATTGCTGTTAGGTGGCAAGGTGAGGTGAGATCAGGGGCGCACATGTAATACATTTTAAGGGGGGTGTTTGAATGGATCTGGGACAGAGTTTTAATTCAGCAAAGATCCGGGATCGACTGTCATATTGTTCATAAATCATAAAGAATGATACAGTGCACTTGGCTGCAATCAAGTAGATAGACAGAATAGACAATTTTGCAAGATATAACTTTATACCATTAACAATAAGGAAATTTTAGATCAAGTAGTTCCAAAGGCAATGTTCCATTTGAAGAGTTATTATAAATGCTATTATTATTATTATTATTACCACTTTAATAGTTATTACAGTAGTTATGTGGCCGGTGGTTTTGAAGATATTTACACATGTATGTATAACAATGATAGCATATCTTTTGTTCATGTAGTTCTACACTTGTACACTAATAATACACTGAGTCTTGGGGAGTTTTGCCCAGCGATCAATCTTCTTCTTTTTCTGACCCTAAAGTCATGAAAACCTTAATTAAGCCTGTCTTGATTCATCACTGAGTGCATAACTGTCTTGATCAATTTCAGCTTAGAGAAGCTTCGCTAACTCGACACTGATGTAATAGGTGCAGTTAAAATCAGGTGATAGCATATGTTTGTTAAAGGAAATATGCTTTCAAATTTCCTAGCTAGATGTGCTGCTTCTGTGATTGTTTCAATTTCCAGCTTGTTCTCTCGACAATGATTTCTAAACAACGTTAGTTCATCACATAAAACGTTGTTGTCAGGTTGTAGAGAATGTGGAAGCATCTTTACAAGAGAGTCAACGTCTTCTTATTTGGGATCATTGTCAAATGGAGGAAGAAGGTTAATTGCTGGGGCAAGAATATCACATGCCTGTGTTTGTACGTTGAGGACTTGGATGAATTCTTTTCTGTAGAAATCCTGGAGGTTAAGGTTTGTTGCCGTTTCTGGTCTTTCGTCCACTCTTCTTGTTGGGCGTCTGTTGTGATGATGATGTTGCTGGTATTGGTCATTAGCATCAACTCCATGGCGTTCAGAAAATTTTACAGCAGCAGTAATCAGGTTGTTTACGTTTTGTTCATCATTATGTAAGTGGCGCAGCGTAGAAATGGTTGCTTTAGCAGATTCTAGAGTGTCAACAATGTTGATGTTGACACTCTAAACTTGCTTTGTCAATATTTTTGTCTTTATCATCACATTCTTCATAAACATAACCATGACAATAAATTGAAAAGATCTTATTCTTGCCAGAAGATTTTCAGCCTTTGCTTTCATTTTGTTGTCATCAGAATCTTCTAATTCTTCCAGCCCTTGGGTTATTTCATCAAAACTCAACCAAACAGCTTTGAATCTATTGAACCAAACAGCTATTGAATCTGCACGGGTGCTCCAACATGTTGCAGATAAATTTCTCAATTCCAATGCTCCACCACTATCGTTTTCCTTCACTTTGTCATGAAACACACTGTATCTTTTTTTACTGGAAGTACAGAAGACAAACAGCTCTTGCAGGATTTCAAACTTTTTGCACACAGCAACACTCGCTTCACAGCTATGCTCCACAGTGGTATTGAACAGATGGGCTAGGCATGGAAAGTAAGGAACGTCTCTCCCAAGATGCTCTTTCATTTTTGCTTGACACCCCTTGAAGACCCCAGATATGGACGAAGTATAATCATATGACTGGAAAACTCTGTTATCTGTATCAATGGATTTTCAGTCAGAGAAGAAAGGATTCCTTGAGCATGGCCTTCTCCGGGCTTGTCATGGATCTCCTTGATATCAATGAGGCGTTCTTGGGGATTCCCATCTTTATCAACGTACCTTGCGACAACAGAGAGTTGATCGATGTGGGAGACATTTTAGCAATGTTTTCCTTTGTAATCATTGTCAAATATGCTCCCACACAAAGCACAAGTTACTTTGTAACGATTGTGCGGCATCTAAAAATAAATATAAAAACTCAAATCTCTCTCATACTGAAAAAGTTTCATGTAACGATGTAAAAATAACAAATTAAGGTGGCTTGCTACAGTTTATAGAAATGTTGAAAATGCGTAAACTAGATCACCTTTTTGAAGAGATGATGCTCTTTACAGCGACAATCAAACAGCCGAAAATTGCTCAGAAAAGTGACGTCACCACTGTTGCTATGGCAACAATGACGATTCAAGATGGCCAATATTTTGGCTTTGAACGCATTTTACTTTAAAAAAAGGTCAGTTAACCCCCCTTTTTTATTTCAGAAAACATTTTCTTATAGTACAATACATTATCTGACCAATTTAAAAAAAATTCTGTAATGCCAAATTTTTTAAAAATTTATAAACATGGTTTTTCGAAATAAATTTTTTTTTTGCATTACAGAATTTTTTAAAAATTGGTCAGATAATGTATTGTACTATAAGAAAATGTTTTCTGAAATAAAAAATGGGGGTTAAAATGCGTTCAAAGCCAAAATATTGGCCATCTTGAATCGTCATTGTTGCCGTAGCAACAGTGGTGACGTCACTTTTCTGACCAATTTTCGACTGTTTGATTGTCGCTGTATATATAATATACAAATTTCAATTTGTAAAGAGCATCATCTCTTCAAAAAGGTGATCTAGTTTATGCATTTTCAACATTTCTATAAACTGTAGCGAGCCACCTTAAAGGTGATCTACAGTCCGTATGTAAACAAAGCCTTTGTTTACATTTTTGTGTCCAAAATATTGAGCTTTATTCAACAACTATTTATATTTTCAAGCTTGTAGAGTATAATAAATGATCAAGAAACAACAATTAGGCTTTTCAAGAACTCAAAACATAGTTAAACTGTTTGTATCATAAAAAGTGGGCTCATTTGTGCACATGCGCAGAACGGACTGTGGATCACCTTTAAGTGACTATTTGAAAAAACTGAATATTTTTTGGCAGTTGTTGTGTGCACATCATTTTTGCTAAATCGTCCCAGTATGGAAATATTAATTTTACATTAATTAAATATCTAGAAAAAATAAACCTGACCTGCACAAACTACTGTATAAAATCCTAACTATGAACTGAAGCCTGAGCAATTAAAAATGAAAGATTGAGTCAGAACAGAACATTTCCGACCCGCTTAATGTCAATAATATGATAACATCAAGTCAGGCGCACACATAACGATTTTGATGGCGCGTCTTAACGAGTTAACGTCTAGATGTATGTATAATAACAACTAACAAACAATGAAATCAAGATAATAAATATTCTGAATGTTGAACTGTTGGAGTGTTCGTTACATCTAAACCATAAGTAAAGTAGGCAACAAAATGTGTTGCGGGTGCGCTATGATTTGACGTTTAATTAAAAATCAGAAATATTTTCTTACACATTAACACATACCTTTCACAACTTGATAAAAAGCTGTGTGAGTTAACTTCAAATGCCACATCACATAATCAATTTGACCAATGCCTCAATGGTAATGTTATGTTCTTTTTAACAGTTTCTTTTCAAAAATAGTAACGCCATGCACCAACATGGTATCCCGTCTCCGTAGGAAGTTGCTACTTGCTAATGTGGAATAGTGCATTTTATGTAATGTAACGTGACACATTAAAAGTTCCTCAGGCCTCAGCCATGTATGAACCGCTGAACGTGTGTCCTTTGTTCATAACATCTTACCAACCAGCTCTTGTGTGGTCAGTCCCAATTCACGGAGTCGGACAGAAGTAAATATTAATTCTTATACCCAAATTTTGGGATTGAGTTTTCACACAGGGGGTGTATAAGATTTATGTTTGTGGCAATTTATTGTGCTGGTCTGTGCTTTTAAGGTTATTTAGACAATTTCAGTTGTTTTATTTAAATAAAAATATTTCCTACGGAAATATGTTTTTTATGTCAAGCCTGAATTATAGTGATAAGATAAAAGTAGGAAATAGTTAGATTGGATTGTGGCAGATTAAGGTGGGACTTGGTGGAGAAGGAAATTCCGGTGCTTTTACCTACGTAAGAAACATAAAGTCAAGGCCAAATTTTAGCTACTAAAAGTAAAGCAAAGTTATTCACTTCTCAATTCAACCTTTCTCGTGATCGAGTGAAGACATACAAATTTTCATTGACGTTTTTGGACTTCTTTCTTTTATCTTTATACAGGGGAGATTTTCAATTATTCTTATTCTTATATTATTCTTATATTTTGATACTTTTAATTTGGGTACTATGGAATTGCCACGCCCAAAAATTCTTGTTTTTGGACACTCGTTTGTCGAACATCTCCATCGCAATTTGCGCTCTAATTTTGACGTTCATGTGGCCCTCAGTTAAACAGAAAAAGGAGAATCGGCTGCGACAGAAACACGATGTACTTTGGTTCTGTCCTCAGGTTGTTATCCTTTGTATATTCTCTGTAAATATAGGAAATACACTTGTGTTGATTAACCGATCATTAATCATACTAAACACTTACATTATACACATGTGGTTGGCATCTTAAAGAATTGACTACTTTTTACCTCCTTTTTTCATCATTATCACTTTCATCTGAGTCCTCCATCTCTGTCAAATCATCCCATTGAATTGCATCATCTGCAGATTCAGTATTTGGATCAGTTGACACAACTTCTTCACTTAGTTCACTAGTAACACTACTTATATCTTCTGATGATATGGGTGCTTCTGTGTCACCAGACTGTACAGTTTCCATAGGAATTTGAAGGTCTGAAAAATACAAGAAAAATATTGGTCAACTTGGGCTTGTGTTTTCAATTCGACAATCGGGTCAATAATTTCTGTCCTTGTCTGTAATAGTTCAACAATTAGCTATTACAGTAATAGCACAATACAATACTCTTCCTATTATATGTATATTCGTATAGTGCAAATACTTGCTCATGTATGACTGTCAACACTCGGAAATAATTTTACAACTGAGGTCAGTCATATAAAACATGGTATAAATTTCCATAGTACACACAAAATAACACTAAACTACTTACTGGATCATAAATCCTTCACAATGGACTTCTCTTTAGCTAGTCTTTGTTTTATGTCTCTGACTTGATTGTGAAGAATTCGGTTACTCGCTTGTAATTGGAGACAGTATTTGCAATCTGTACCAGCCATTTAAATGTCTGTTTGCATGAATTTGTTGTGATTCGACTTTTGTCGAATATTTTGTCAAAAGCTTTAGATTGCTATGGATTCCACTGCTTGGCTCCCACTTCACATGTTTGCCTACCTAAACTTTAATCCGTTTCCAGTTTGACCCGTTTCCGTTTGCCTACCTAAACTTTAAAACGTTTCCAGACCTAAACTTTAATCTTTATAGCCTCTGGCCTTGAATTATTATAGAAAGGTATCTTATGTAGACTGATACTGTTCTCAGGATAATATCAGGTTCTTTGACGTTGTGGCCGAGATTCGTACTCAGACTATTTTCTGCCGGCCACGTTTTAAGAAACTCTATTTTTTGGCATGTTTGAGCTAAAATTTCTCTGGAAGTATTTCTCTGTTTCCGGTTAGATATCATTCGAATTGTCTCACCACAGCAGATTTTTGAGAAAAAAGGTAATTCTGACATATGCACTTTAAAAATGACCTTCTTACTCTGGCTATCGTAAGGTATGCCAAGAGTATTAAAACACACAAGCGGCTGTCGTTTTTCAAGGTTGCGCATATTTTGGATATGCAGTAGAACCGTGACAATGCCCCTTTAAGTATGCTCTAGCTGGCACTAATGTATTTCTGTAATACAAAATATTTCTGTTTTCATATTTTTTAAACTCCTAAATCGACACCCATTTTCAGGGTCTGAAATTTGATTTTTTTTTAAGTATCCACATGGATACCAAGGTTTTAAAATTTGGTATCCCTCCCGATAATCTCCCAAATCGGGATACTTAACTAGTTGGCTTTTCGTATCCCAGGGCCAGACACAACATCACTTTAATGCTTACTCTTAGTTAAGCATTTCCATCCATCGCATTTTATGTTTAATATACTAGAATCCTAAAAGGAACTTCACTGATATTTAATATCAACTTCACTGATATTTAATGGTAACGTTACAGTATGCACTCAAATCTAAATTTAAAATCCATCAAAATCACTTTCATCTGAATCGGTGTTGAATAACTCAAGCATGTCATTGTTGCTAATTTGATCTTTATCTGAGACACTCGTAGTCTCAGTGTGAGAATCTGAATCACAATCTGAATCACTAGAATCAGATGCATCAGCATCATCACTGACAGAGAGATCTTCATCTGGTCCAGCAACCAGGGGTTCTTGTGACTTTTTGTGTGTTCTCCACCTCTTTTGGTTGGGACGTCGGCCTCTAATAGAACGTTTGTTCCATACATGTATTGCTGGATCTGGGTTGAACAACTTGATATCTGCACACTCTAACGTGATTCGAATCAGGTCAGTGACAGCACTATCAGACAGCTTGTTTCTCCAGTCTGTTTTGATCGTCTTCAGAAGGGAAAAGCCACGTTCGCATTCAGCTGAATGAGCAGGAATGGTCAGAAGCAAGTCAACAAGGAGGAGGAAGTGTTCTGCATCTGGACCAAATTCAACATTGATACTTTGCCATGTCAGTTCTTTTGCAATGTTCTTACCACCATATCTGAAGTGAGACAATAATATATTGAGAAATTATATATAGGTGAAATATACAGGTCAGCACAGTGAAAAACGCTTAGTTGGTCACCGTCCATAGATTTTCGTTTTAAGCTCATCCCATTCCAGCATGGCTTCTCCCACAAAGTCTTCTTCAATGACATCAGCAGAATTATACGCAGCAGACAAATATGGAAGGAAGTGTTTTAAGAGGTTATTCACATCATCGTCACCAAAACCTGAAAAATAGGTATTATTGTTAAACGTGCAAAACAATTTCGTATATTTCGAGTAAGCCGGTGGGTTACCTTGTAATTGTCTGACCGGCCAGTTGCGAAGATTAAGAAAGCGTATCCATTGCAAATGTTTTTGCTTATCATTCAATGCAAATCTTTTGTTGAGAGCTGAGACCAGAAGGTCAATAACATTTTTGAATCTTGCAATGGTTTCATCAATTGCCGGATCTACATCCTCGCCTTCATCTTCGGATGATATTGAAATTCCATGGAAAACTTTGGTTTTCAGGAATTCTGATAACTTATTACCAGGACTAGGGGAAGGAAAAAGTTAATAAGTTTAATTTAATAGGCAATAATTTTTGTATAAATGATTATTGTAGCAAGACAATAGTTGTATAATTGTGTACAAATAGATGTGCAAAACATTGTGCAAAAACAGAACTTACTTTTGTTTCAACTTTTCCAAACTAGTGACAGCTGACTTCACTACTTCCTGGCAATCAGCTATGCTACAGCTGTTCTTTTGTAGAAACATGGATGCCTTCTTGAGGCGCATAACAATATCTGTTGTCATGGCTGTGTCTTTTAAAAATTGGGGACTCTTCATTTTCTTCAGAAATCCTTTAGCTTTTGAAGTCGCATCACTGGAATGTGAATTGATTTGCAGCTGAAAGCGAAAAAGCATTTAATATCATTATACTATCAATATTTAATTATATCATTCAATGATTACAGTCGAGGTATAATTATACAATGTTATACATGGTTAGGTGTATAAAAAATGTAGACCCTCAAATTAGCCGTAATCTATTGTAGCAATTTGATCGCTCTATTACAGCATCAGCGAATTGGCTAATTTGAATTTGAAAGGGTCTACATTTTTTTGATACACCCTGTACTTAATTCATAAACCAAAGGCCAATAAATAAATAATACCTCGCCAAAGTGCTGCAACAAGGCTGGAAAGAGCTTCCAAAAATTGGTCAAAGCCAAATAAAGATGAGGTACCCAACGCGTTCCACCGACTCTTGTAGGTATACCTGTAACTACATGCGCTTTTGCAGACACACGTAACATGCTGCGGTTGAACGAACTATTGTGATAAAACTTGTAGACGTTTTCCAAAAAGCGAGTGATTTCAAACCGACTGTTATTTAAGCCAATTACATCATTAAAAGAAAGCTCCAGACGGTGTGCCATGCAATGGACAGATGTGAGTAGTGGTTGCTTCTCTGTTAGCCTTGCTCCAATTCCATGCTTAGATCCCGTATTAACACTGGCACCATCTGCTCCAAATCCAACCATTTTCTCGTACACTGCGTCACCTTTCAGCTCTCCGTATTCTTGCAGAGCCGATTCTAGCTCTTTCGTGATATTCTCTGCAGTAGCACGCTCGACATTTTTGAGACGTAAGAACTTGTTGTTGATCAAACCGTTCTCAGCATATCTAAAAAGCGTAAGTAAAACACCAGCCATTTAAAAACACGTATTCATAGTTCTGGAAATACAGCAGCAATGACCATTTATGAAAAATGAACTCAACTGTTTTTTTACGCTTACCTCACATACATAATTTCAGCTTCAGATATGGAGGAGTCTGTTGTTCCATCAGTCATTACACTATAGAACGGAACGCGGGCAAGGTCTGTTGCCAATTTCATTCGCTCAGCTTCAGCAATAAACGATATAAAGTTGTGGCACTGTTTGCTATTTCTGTACGTATGTCCTAGCGATATATTGTGCGCAGCTTCGTGAAGGTCCAAAGACCACGGAAAGTCTTCAAAGGGACGACCTTTTTTTGCCAACGAGTGAGCAATTCGAAATAAGACTCGCATCTTTTCAAACTCTTTTTCATTCATTTTTTGAATCATTGTCTCTGCAGGGGTTGAGCCGGGTGTTGAATTTTTGGCCTTATTGTGACGAACGCATTTTTGGTGGGCTGCACTTTTATCATGAGTCTGTAGGCTTTTTATGTGCAAGTTTCCACATCCACCTTTTACAAACTTTGAATCCTTGTCGCACAATGTTGGATATAGCATACAAATATCACAAAACATTTTTGATTTGTCGTCGGACAGCTTTACCCATGGAAAAGACTTCTTCCAGTTAGCAGAGAATTTTCGGCACCGTTTTTCACTTTCGTACTTTCGTTTGACTTCAGCGCTCCGCTTTTCTCTTCGGTCTTTTTCTGCATTGCGAACTACGGGAACTACAATGTCATCATTATTATCATCATTGGCCATATCATCATCAAGACCATTGCCTGTATCATCATCAGGAGTTTTGGTGGTTTTAATTAAATATTTTAACATAATTGATAATATCACAAGAAAAGCATGAATTATTTATGATATTTTAGTTCATGACGGCAAGCAAAAAAAAATGTATTTCCACTTTGCTAACTATCGACCTTCAAATTTCCTTACAATCTTCTTGACTTTTCTTGACTTCAAAAAAATTATTTTAAAGACTAAATCTGGACAGTTGTTTCAATGTGGAAACACTATTCAAAATGGCGACTCGCGAATTCAACCATGAGTGGACTACATAAATACAACGTTATGACGAATGCTAGACTTGTGTTACAGCACTATTTAATGAACAAAAATGTGGGGAGACTACTAAAACATTAACTGCTATCCCGATTTTTTAAAAAATGTGGTATCCCAACGGGATACAAGTAAAATAAACTTAGTATCCAAAACCAAATTTCAGTATCCCGTGGATATCGGGATACCGCAAATTTCAGACCCTGATTTTGTTGTGAGCCTATGAACCATTAGAGGAGAAAAGCAGTTAACTCCATGAACGCAGATCGCATTTGTGACGCCCAAAACAACAGCCTCTTGTGTTTTAATACTCTGGCATACCTTACGATAGCCAGAGTAGGAAGGTCATTTTTAAAGTGCATATGTCACAATTATCTTTTTCATCAAAAATCGGCCGTGGCGAGACAATTCGAATGATATATGTATCATTCTGTTTGATCACTAACTCGCTGACCAGGTGCATGCTGTTTTTTCCAGCTATCAATTAAAACTTAATTCCTTGGTATGCCTTAACAGTTAAAAAACTTAAGTATAAATAAAAGTAGTAAATAATATTGTAATAAATAAATGAGAAGTTATAAAGTTATGAAGTTATAAGTTTTCAATCTTTAGGCTTACATCACGCAAGGTTTTTGATCCTTTTTTGATCCTTTCGAACCGCTTGTCTTACGGAGGGACCCCGCCTGTAAGAGATTTGGGAAGACAATCCTACCTGGAAACCCACTCTATCCAATTGTTCATAGCCAGTCAGCACCAGTGAACCATGGTTATAAACTTGAACCATGGTTATCTGACAATGTTGCGAGGAATATCAGGATGCGAACAGACCGGTTTCAGAAATTCGTTACCATTAAGTATGCGACCTGAACTGTGATCGTTGAACCTAATAACTCTATTGTCTAGTTATACATTCATTTTTAACTAAAATAAATTATGTACACCTCTCAGATAATTTTGTATAAGTTTTATATACTGTAAATAATATTTGTAAATAAGATTTTTGTAATGACCTGTAATTCAGTTTCTACTGCACGGGTTTTTTTTTAATAAACTATTACTAACTATTCTATATTGGCCAGCTATAATATGTCAAGCGTCGTTTGTCATGGTAACTACGTTAACTTGTAATCGTCTGTCAGCTGTTTAAAGTGAACTGTCGGCCGTTTAAAGTGAATTTTCTGCCATAGAATCGCTGAGCGTGACACTCTATTATATTGTTCAGTTACTTGGGATATAAGATTTGATTTTGTGATCACCATATTTTACGCTTTTTTAATTATTCATGATTGTTTATTGTTGCAAGAGCGTCCTTGTTTGAACTTCGCCTTGGCTTCATATTGCCATGAACTTTTCCATTTCACTGATACTTATATCTTTATCTAATGACATTTCTACTAATCTCGGTCCTAACTGCAGCATTTCTACATCATCACCTAATGTGCGAGGACTTACCAATCCTAGATCCCGTTCTTCGTTTAATGTTCTGTATCAGAACGTCAGAAGTCTGAAGGCGAATCATCGTAACCCTACAACTAATTGCGTTGTGAATAAGCTTTCATATCTACATGAATGACATTGTTTATGGCAACATTGTAGATGTGATTGCTTTGGTGGAGACTTGGCTCACTGTCAATGAGCGTGATGATGAAATCTTGCCTGTTGAATACAAGCTATTTCGGCGAGATCATCAAACTGGTAAACGGGGCGGTGGTGTTCTGCTTGCCATAAAAGATACAGTCATAAATGAACCTTGTGGCTTTGTTTCAGACTCGTTGGAACTTGTATCTCTGGTATTATCTCCTCGTTGCTGTCTGTTACCGTCCACCTGACTCCACTAATGTTTTCCTAAATGAACTAACCTGCTTTTCAAAATTTGTCCAAGAATTGGAATTCAAAGATGTTGTTCTAATTGGCGACTTCAACTACCCAAATATCCAATGGTCTAACAGTTCAGGTTTCTCTACTTCAGCTTCAGAAACTAGTTTCATTGACAGCATCACTGAGTTTAGCTATCTGCAATTGATTAACTCACCTACCTGTGGTAACAACCTCATCGACCTGGTTTTAACTACAAATGAACATTTGACCGACAATTTTGAAGTTACTGATGACTACTCCATCTCTCTACCCTCTGATCACAAGGCTATATTTTTCGACCTAAAACTCCATCAACAACCTAAACAATCCTCCGAACGTGTGGTCTATAATTATGCTAAGGGTGATTTTGTTGGCCTATTTAACAGTCTAAGGAACACTCCACTAGTTGATATAGTCCTCAACGAAAGTAACAACGTTAATCTTGCCTGGGCTAAGTGGAAGGACGCTTTCCTTGCTGCTGTTGACCGTTTCATCCCCAAGACAAAGCTCAAGCGTTCTTTTACACCCCCATACATCACCAAGGACTTCTTTCACACCATTAAGATGAAAGAGACACTAAGAAGAAAGGCAAAGGCTAACAACTCGCCTGAACTTTGGAAGAAATTCTGTAAAACTAGGCAACACGTCAAGTGTTGGATAAATTCCGAGAAGAGAGAATATCTTTCTGGACTGTCCGAACATGTGTATAATAACCCTAAATTATTCTGGAGATTCTTTAAATGTAAATCCTCGAAATCTTCGATCCCTGACGTGATGAAGTTGGAAGGTCAGAAACTTTTTTCTGCAAAGGAAAAAGCGGATGGCTTTAACCAATTTTTTACGTCAGTCTTCACCTCCGACAAAAGTTCTTCACCTCTTTTCACTCCCTCTAGTTCAGCTTCTAACTCTCTTGACTCATTAAATGTATCTGAATCCGATGTTCAGTATTTGTTTTCCAATTTGTCACCCTCTAAGGCTACTAGTCCTGATGGCATTCCAGCTTACCTTCTAAAGCGATGTTCTGAGGTAATTGCCCCTTCTTTACTGCTCTCTTTTGAGTTATCTCTTCAGCAGGGTGTTTTTCCTTCTGAATGGAAAGCTGCTAATGTCGTGCCTATACCCAAAAAGGGTGACACTCATGAGGTCACGAACTACAGACCAGTTTCCTTACTCTCTCAAGTCTCAAAAGTTCTCGAACGTTTAATTTTCAGGCAGGTTTCTTCTTTTGTTGAAAACTCCTTGTACGACCTTCAACACAGCTTTAGTTGTAAAAGGTTGTGTGTTACTCAACTTTTGAGTGTACTTCGCGACCTTGGTCGTACTCTTGACTCTGGAAAGGAAACAGACCTGATTTATCTCGACTTTGCTAAAGCGTTTGACTCAGTGTCCCATAGCAAACTTTTGTTCAAACTTAAATCGTTTGGAATCTCAGGTCCACTTCTTAACTGGTTTGCTGATTACCTTCGTGATCGCAAACAGTGTGTTGTCGTTGAAGGAGCTTCCTCATCGTTTCTTAATGTTACCTCTGGGGTGCCACAAGGTAGTGTAATAGGTCCCCTTTTATTCATTCTTTATGTAAATGACCTTCCCGAGGTAACCAATAATAGTACCGTTGCACTTTTTGCTGATGACAGCAAGTGTTATCGTGCTATACGATCACCAGTTGATTGTGGTCTCCTTCAGCTCGACCTGGACGCTATGTCCAACTGGTCACTTAACTGGAAAATGAAATTTAATGTCTCGAAGACGTTCCTACTTAGGATATCCCGCAAACGTAACCCTTCAACTCATTGCTACTTTCTTAACAACGATCCAGTTAAGAGCATAGCTAACCAAGTAGACTTGGGTGTTGTTATCAGCAATGACCTAAAGTGGTCCCCTCACATCGCCAGCTGCACTGCAAAAGCCAATCGTATGCTTGGTTTTCTTCGTAGGAATTGTACGCAAATGTCTGATATTCGCTGCCGTAGGCTTCTTTATCTTGCTCTCGTCCGATCTCATCTGTCATATGGTAGTGAGATCTGGGCACCTCAAGGATCGTCACGTGATCTTGCGATAATCGAGGGTGTTCAAAGATGAGCTAGTAAATTTATCCTTCAGGATTATGAGTTGCCATATCCTGAACGCCTTAAAAAGCTTAATCTATTACCAATATCCTACTGGATGGAACTAAAGGATCTCGTCTTCTTTATTAAATGTAAGCACGGTCTCTTCGACCTAGATATCTCCTCTTTCGTCACTTTTTCTTCAAACAGCTCGTCTCACACCCGTTCAAGTTCGGACAACTTGCTTTGTGTTAATCATTGCAGGACTTCTCTCTTTAGGAACTCTTTTTTCAACCGAATTGTCTTTCTTCGGAATAATCTCTCTCCCACCATTCGTAATAGTTCATCCGTTTCCTCCTTTAAAAACAGACTAACTGTTCATTACTCTTCTCTACTTCATTCATCTTTCGATGTAAACAGAATGCGCACTTGGAAAACCTTCTGTTCTAAGTGCCGCTCTTTCAACTTAAGCTGTTGTTCGTAATTCGTCATGTTTTCTGTAAATTTTATATTTGTTCTCGTCTTTGATTTATGTTTGTTATAGTTTGTTTTCATTAAGGTTGGTCTTCACATGGGGCTATTCATGTCCTGTTGACCATACCTTCAACCATATTATGTAGTGGTTTAATCTATTTTATGTATGGTTGTAAAGTTAATAAATAAATAAATAAATAAATAAATAAATAGATTACGCAGCCTCAAGGTGCATGTATGTTTGTGACCATAGTGATTATGAACAGCTCTATTCCCTAGATGTCTTGAGAGTGGAGGATCGAGGGGATAAAAATCAGGCAACAATTTATGCAGAATTCCAAGAAGGCATCACCGGGAAAGAGGATGGAAGATATGAAGTGTTCCATGGATACCTGGAGCTATATTGTCAAACACTAATGAAGAACCCAGTAGGAAGAGACTCCACAATGTAAACAGGAAGTTGAAGCAGAATCAACAGCTCAAAGATGAATATCAGAAAATTGTGCATCAACAGTTGAAAGACGGAGTCATTGAAAAGACCAAAGAGAGCTCGACTAGTGAACATGTGTTCTACATGCCACACAAACCGGTGATTAAAGAAAATGCTTCTACAACCAAGGTGAGAATGGTATTCGATGTTATTCATCTATCTCTAAGTGATCACTCTGTCATTTATTGTGTTATGAAAGGTGGAATTCGTAAAATGCCACCACGTATATATGAAGCCTGATCATTTAAGAACTATGATAAAAGTGCTTATAGATCTTAAACGTTTATAAAGATCTTAAACAAATTCCCTGGAGTATTTTTGATACAGTGTGTGATGGTACCAATGCTTGTGTGGACGAGGCTGTATTCCTATGGGAACGTTTGTTTCTTGATGTAGCTAATTTACACGCTCCAATTCAGTTACGTAGAACAAAGGGACATAAAACTCCAAGGGTTACATCAAAACTTGTTGACGCTCGACGAGATCTAGATTACCATCATAAAAAGGCACGTCGATCAAACTCGAAATACCAACGATTAAAATCAGAATGCTTTTGTAATCTGATTAATGAATCGCAAGGTGACGTATCCTAATCCTCAAATTACGTGCCATGGGAGCTGATGATTCGTCAATCAGGTGGTTTAAATCATATTTAAATAATCGGAATCAGAGAACTGTTGTGGGAAATGCGATGCCTTCTTCTCGTTCAGTGAACATAGGAGTCCCTCGAGGCAGCGTACTTGGTCCTCTATTCTTCTTAATTTACATTAACGATTTAGCTGAGTGTTTGCAAAACTCGAAAGCTGCATTGTTTGCTGATGACACCGCAATTTATTGTTCGGCAACTTCTGCTGCAGACCTACAGTTAGATCTTAATGAGGATTTGAAGATTGTTAGCAAGTGGATGGAAACAAACAAGTTGACTTTGAATGTTTCTAAAACTAAATTAATGGTTATTGGAGGAAAGTAAAGATTATCATGTCTAAATTCCATTGAACTGACAAAAATCAACGAAGAGTTACAGGTAAACTACGTGAAGCGTTCCTCTTTTGTGTTCCTAACATTTGGAATTTTCAAAATTAGATTTGCAAATTTGAAAAACTCTTCGCAAATCCCTTGAGGGAATTTGCAATTTTCCTGTCGGCCGTTGCAATATTCCAACGCAAAGAAAGTTCCTTTCAAATTTTCCTAACTTCCTGTTTTAATTTCCTAACTTCCTGTTCTGTTCTGTCCTGAGCGTTGTCATTGGTGGATTATTTTTGTTAGCCAATTGCAACGCACAGAACAGAACAGGAAGTTGGGAACTTGTAACAGGAAGTTAAGAACTTCTAACAGGAACTGAGGAAAACTTATTTTGCTCTTAAGAACATTGCAAATTCCCTTAAGGGATTTGCAAGGGAGTTTTTCAAATTTGCTAAGGTAATGACGAAAATTGCAATCAACTTAGGAACTCAAAAGAGGAACGCTTCACGTAGTTTACCTGTAATTGACCAAGTTGACAAATTTAAATATCTTGGCATAATAATTAACGAATCGCTTGATTGGTCTGATCATATTGATTATGTCCAATCCAAGGTCGCAAAGAGGCTTGGCTTGTTAAAACGTGTAAAGCATTTGTTACCGAGACAATCAAGAGAACTTGTCTATAAAACTGTGATCCAACCTGTATTGGAATACGGAGATATTGTTGATCGATTTAATAATACGTTGATGGAAAGGCTTCAAGTATTACAAATCAAAGCTGCAAAAGTAATTCTTGATAGACCATTATATTCCTTAGCTAGTGATGCTTTTCAGACCCTTGGTTGGAAGTCTTTATCAGAGCGTAGACGCTTTCATAGATCGTGCATGGTTTTCAAAAGTTTTAATGCTCTTATAGATTTTAACTGTAATCAAATACGTAGGTCTGATCTTCATCACCACAACACTAGATCGGGAAGTGATCTTATCATTCCAGTATATAGAACGAACTGGGGTCAAGTAGATCAGATTTCCTCTTTATTGATGAATTCAATAAACTACCTAAGACTCTGATTGGGGCAGATTCATATGCGCAATTTGTCAATCATTATTGGTCTCATTCTTTTTAACATGAACACCTATTTTTATCTGTAATATTGAACAAACTTATATTGATAGACTTTAGACATTTTTTAGACCTTAGACTTTATTGTATAATTAAGTATAAGTATTTATGTTGTATAGCTTTGAGGGCTCTCATGAAAATCACTTTTGGTGACTGAGACCTCCTCGATAAAGAATGTACGGATAAATAAGTAAATAAATAAAATAGACCCCATCCGACGGCCGATAGCGTCATTGAATGCATGCACACTGGCCCCCCACTTCAACCACTGTTATGGGACATATTAATCAGAGCCAGAATGTCAACCCATCTACTACTCGCAGACTTGCAGAAGGCGTTTCTGCAGGTTGGTTTGAAGGAAGATGATCGAGATGCGTTTCGGTTTCTGTTTGACATTAATGGTCAAGTAGAACATTTAAGATTTACCCGTGTGCCTTTCGGTGTGGAAGCCAGCCCATTTATGCTTGGTGCCACCCTGCAACACCACTTCAATCTGCAGCCAGAAGAGTACCAAAATACCATTGAGTCGTTAAAAGAGAACACTTATGTTGATAATCTAATAAGACCGGAAGTGATATTGCAGATCTTGAAGATTTCAAACGCGAAGCGACAGAAATCCTAGAAGACGCAAAGTTCCCAGTCCACGAGTGGGAGTCGAATGTTGAAGCACTTGACAACGAGTCAAATCCCAGCAAAATAGTCGGACATAAATGGAGTAAGAGAGAAGATACACTTGAGATTCGAGCAGAACCTACAAAGGAAGAAACACCAGTGACAAAGAGACTCAGTAGCATACATGACCCTTTGGGAATAATATCGCCGACCATGGTTGAGGGAAAGCGCACCTATAGAGAAGGGTGTGTTGAGAAAGTCGGCTGGAATTCCGAAGTATCTACCAGCACGTCCAAAGATTGGATAAAGTGGCGACAACAGTTAAGAAACGTGAAAATCCCGGGTCTAGCAAGGGAGATTCGAAACGTGCTCGGCGGTCTCTATAGCAGTAATCGAACATTCCAGTGGAATAATTAAAGGTTTTCTTACGGTTTTCTTAAGTCCAGAATTGCCAAGAGAAACACTTCCATTCCAAGGCTGGGATTAGTTAGCGGTCAGATGGCTGCCAACATGGCCAAGAATTTGGTTGCCGCATTGAGAAGATGGCCAATTGCATCAGTTACAGTGTGGATGGACAGCCTGGTTGCTTTGTTTTGGATTGCGAGTCCAGAAAGATCCTGCAAAGTCTTTGTAGCAAATCGGACGCGGAAGATTGCTGAAATTACGGAAGAAGTAGGCATCAGTTGGAAGTACTGTCCATTAGAGGAAAATTTAGCTGATTTAGGGAGTCGGGGAGCTTCGATCGCCAAAATGGAAAAGGACGGTTGGTTTAATGGTCCAGAGTGGCTGGTTAACCCAGACAAATGGCCAAAACAACCAAAGCTCGAAAGAACAAAGACTGTCCTGGACGAGCAAAAGCCGATGACGGAAGTAGCTTTCAATATGGAAGAAAAAGGTCCGGACGAATGGAACTTGCTACTTTCTAGATCAAGCTACTGGAAGACTATTCGTGTTACTGCGTGGGCGTTAAGATTCATAAGCAATGCAAGAACCAGAAAACAGAAAACTAACCTAGCGAAAGGTCCGCTGACGACGAACGAGCTAGAACAGTCGAATTCGAAAGTGCGATGGGTGAAGAAGGTCCAAGAAGACATGAGTTCAGAGCTACGGGCACCTGGATGGGAAGTCATACGAGAAGGTGATTCTGGTTTACTGAAATGTAAAGGTCGAATTCCCGGATATCAGCCGATATACTTGGAAGGACGAGACTTTACGGACAAATTGATCATGCATACACACAATGAGATACGTCATTTTGGTATCGCGAACACGATGGCCGCACTAAGAGAGAACTGGTGGATTCCGAGACTGCGCTCGAAAGTTAAAAGGATCATCAACGAATGCAACGTATGTAAAGCGTACCGAGTCAAACCATATGGTCGTACAGCAACTGCCGAACTACCTACGTTTCGAATCGAAAGCGGACGACCATTTGAAAACAACGGGTGTTGATTTCACGGGTCCCCTCACATATAAGCTTACCAAGAAAGAAGAAGGCAAGTGCTACATCCTAATATTTACGTGTGCTACATCCAGAGCCGTGCATCTGGAGTTGACGAAGACACAATCTGCAGAGGAATTCAAAGTAAAGATAAATGCTTTCATCGCAAGAAAGAGCAAACCAAAGTTGATTGTGTCGCACAACGGAGGAGCGTTTAAAGCGACAGCGTTATGGATCAGAAAGATACGTAAAAGTGAACGACTGCAAGATTATTTGGCAAGACAAGAGATTCGGTTATTTGGCAAGACAAGAGATTCGGTAGAGATTCAATCTATCCAAGTCCCCCTGGTGGGGTGGAATGTACGAACGCTCACTTAAGGACATTAAGATTGAAGACCGAAGCCAAAGGAGACGAAGCCAAAAGAAACTGACGAAATCGGACAACGAAAGAGTAAGAGACAAGCAGCAAAGGATGCTAGGTGTTAAGGTGTAAATTGCAGTTGATACAAAAGGAAGGAGATTGAAGAATTTAACTCGACATAATGTCAGACATTTGATTGCGAACTTTAACTTTCTAGTTGATATTAGTTATAAAATTAAGAGGGGAGCGTGAACGAACATATTATAGACAGGGGTATTGGGTCACCTATGAGAAACAAGCCTGTTCGGAGTGTTCGCGGGTGACCTGAGTATCGGGAAAAACAACGAACATGTGAGACTTGTGAGCGAGAGTTTTGTGTAAAAAGTGGGAGTTTTTATAGTTTATTAAACTTTAATAAAACATAATACGAGAGTTTTAGTGTGCCGACACAAGTTCGGCACAATGACTCAGGCGATGCTAATATTAAACAAATAGTTTACATGTTTATCGTAAAAATTATGAAACATCCGATTTATATGAGTTTATCTTACAATTCCCCCGAATTCCAATACAAAGCCGACTTTGGTAGTGGTGACTTCCAACACACTTTTCCTCGTGCTTCTTGCGAGCAGAGAGCGTGCGCAATGACATGTTGTTAGTATCGGTATTGGTATCGGACGTCGAACTTAAACTCTCTAATTTCGTTTTAAATACGAACCAAAGACCATTTGTATTTTCAAAACAACAACAATAAAAATGCGGGGAAATTTTCGAACTTCGTATGTCACTCGCAGCCTGTGAAATACGGAAAATACGCGCACCTGGTCCCGGATGTAGTGACGTATGAGTTCTACGAGTGTCTTAGTTTTCAGTAAAACACCATTTCCATATAATAAATATATACTATATATATATATATATATATATATATATATATATATATATATATATATATATATATATATATATATATATATATATATATATATATATATATATATATATATATACTACTTATTTATTATCTATCTCATATATGATTCCAAACTCGAGTAATTCAAGTTTGTCTTCTAATCTAAGCTCTACTACGGTATTGAGATGAGATACTGATATATATATATATATATATATATATATATATATATATATATATATATATATATATATATATATATATATATATATATATATATATATATATACAGTGTTTTCAAAAAAGGTTGTCCTTTCAATTTTCAAAAGGGTGCCAGCTTATATTTTGGTCTCAAACTCAAAAAATTGCTTTGCCGCAATATTTATGGCCAGTGGAATCCTATTCAAGTGACATTCCGTTGTTTGTTGCAAAGCTCATTTCCGGGGTTTAAAGGCCTAAATAAGCTGTTGAAAGGTTTATTTATTTTATATAGTGTAAACAAAGCCGGGCAAGTAGAAATTGTACTTGACCGCGGCTGTGGATTCCAACCCGCGACAGTCGCATTTCTAGAACGATGCTGCTCATTCTCGTACCCAGAGCCCTTCTTATGCGTGGTCAACAAAGCGCAACGAGTGGCTCTGGCAAAATTCAAACCAGATACCATGACCGCGCGTAAGAAGGGCTATGGGTACGAGAATGGAACGATGCTCTACCGTCTGAGCTACAAGGTCAAGCTGAAAAATACAGTTATATCAACAAGTGGAAATTTTGAAAACGTGAAATTGTGACATAAGGCCAAATAAAAAAAAAATACTTGGTTAGCGTCACCACCCGCCTCTCGAGCTCGATTTCTGCCGCCTTTTTATTTTATTTTTTTATGTAAATCTCTTCGTTTTACAGCATAAAACAGTTTAATATTTGAAATTTTTCTCATGCTCACACCTTCGCGCTATAAATTAATCGATAGGAGCGCGCGGGCTTGGGTACAAGGTTCTTATATCAAAATGGCGGCCTTCGCGACATCAGTGGTAGAAAAACCGCCCCCATCCCCCCAAAAAAATACTATTAAAAAATTTTAAAAACGAGTAAATATTTAAAAAAAACAACGCCCGCCCGCCTCTGAAAATTTGTGAGAGTGTGACGCTAACCAAGTATTTTTTTTTTATTTGGCCTAATTAGTGTGCTGAAATCATGATACTCACTTTTGTACCAACGTTATCCTCTTCATCTTCTTCCATAAAATTATCTGGAAAATGTTCAGAAATATTGACTTCAAAAACCTTTTGTGCATAGCCAATTGCGTTTATCTCACTATCATCATGGACTAGCGAAAGTGCGTCTTCCGTTTCACACATATTCAAAACGAATTTGGCCGCATTTGTGATCGGATTCTCCGGCAACAAAACTTTTCCAGAAATAGGGGAAACAAGTCTAAAATACTCGAGAACTAACTGGAGAGACCCGATCCAGTCGTAAATTTGAGCCAGAGATGTTGCGTTTTCCAAAAATATGCGGCTTACAATACCGAGCGTGACGTGTCGTACCAGAACAACAACATGATCTTCTTCTATGTTTGGTTCCGATGGCACACGACTTGTCCTTGTAGACCTCAACTGTTCTTGCCTCGTGATTTTTTCCATCTCATTCTCCAACAATTGCTCTCGGACTCTATCGTCTTAATATCCATGGCCAGACGTTCACGGTACGCTTTGTCCTGCTCGTCTTTTAGCCGCAATCGTTCCTGAGACGTGCCTTTTAGGCTACTATCAGTAACACTGTCACTGTCACTGGGCGAGTTATGTATTGGCGACAATCTTAACTTGTGTCATTCTGGATGTCGGTTTTCCGGGGGTTGAAATTCGTTTGTAATGTGAGGGGTCATCGAAAAAATATTGTATAATGCGCGCATCGTGGAATTTCCATGTGATCACGACTCAAGATATATTCTGGATGAAAATTACGAAAACTCTCTGAAATATAAAAGCTCTATCACTTCCACTGTGTCTGTCAAATTCCCTTCTTCCTCGTCCACGACCAAAGCCTCCTCTTTTCCCACGCCCTCGACCACCACGACCTCTACCACTCCCACGTTCTTCATCTCTTGGTGCACCAAAACCCCCTCCTCTTTCACCCCTGTTCTCCCGATTACCAAAGCCACCAGATCGTCTTTCCCCAGAATCGGACTTCCTTTCCTCACGATTATTGTTGTCGCCATAATTTGATTCGTTATCTCGTCTCCTGCCAAAGCCACCTCCACGAGGTTTATTAAAGTTTTTCCTTTCACTGGGACTAACAGGGCCATTGGATATTCGCGTATTTTTCTCATTTTCACGCCTTGTGTCATCTCGTCTTGGTCCACGCCTCTCTTCTTGTTTTTCCTTGCGGTCTGTATTTGTGTAAAAAGAACGATGCAAACATGATTTGATCAACAATGTTGTCATACGATGTTTCAGGACGATTACGAACGTAACTTCTACAAGTTCAAGGCGTAAAATACTCGAAGTACAACGGTTTTACTTACTAATCTTTAATTCTTTCTGGTAATATACATCAAGGCACTGAAATTTTCAGTGTTCATTCCAGAGGCAAACAAGTGCTTTTATGACTAGTTATCGGCGCTTCTTACAGCACATAATAAACCGCTCATCGAGTGGTCAAATACAACTTTGTCTATAGATATTATCCCAGATGCAAAGGCGATGAGTTATAGTGTTCCATTTCTAGATGTTTATAGTTTTAAAACAAATGTGGAATGTTGTTAATACCTGCCCGTCCCTTACCTGGGGCTGTTTATGATGGAAGTGGGGTGATTTTGGTGTATTGGAATAAGTCTCTGGGCTAAACGAAAGTTTAAATGCTGGTTTAACAGAACTCAAATGTTGTATACATCTTGTACATAGTTCAAGAAGATTATTATTGCGCGGCTTAAAAGCTTGGTTTCCACTAAATCGTAATCATCGCAATAGTCGCGGAACGCAGACATCGCTATCGCAAAAATCGCAGTAAGTCTATCTTTGCGACTTTGTCGTAAGAGTCTTAGTTAGTATCGGTGTGACTCAAGTTTCCAATAAATCGCAGTTTTTATTAAAATTTTCGCGTTTTTAAAATCGTTGCGACGCTTGCGATGCGGTTCTTGCGATAATTACGATTTAATGGAAACCAGGCTTTATGCACACGTGACCACCGAGTTTATACTTGATAGTGCACTTTTTATAAGATGAGATGTAAGATACAATTGTACGAGATAATTGATGTAGGACAATGTGTAAAACAATAAATCATACATACGACAGTGAAAAAGACACTTTTTGGTTGAAGTACATCCTGCATATACATATCGGCAGCATTTTCCTTGCGATAGTACTCCTAGTAATAATTTTAATTTCTTCCTGTCTAGTAAGATGAGTTACTCGGTTGTGTCATGTAAATAGTCACAGGAAAACTATAAAACGAGTTTACATCAAATTCTAGGCCTAGATCGATCTTGTCGTTGCCGAGTGAATCGGTTAGAAAGTAGCTCGCCTCCATATGAACATGTCTACGATTTGCGTTCTGCAAGTGCCGCTATATATTATTTATTTTTTTAAAGCCGTAATTGCCGCTCTGAATGAGCTGTTGTTTACAAATCTTACCAACTCTCTTTTCACGATGTCATT